AGGTGAGAAAATGTCGGATTTTGACCATTTGTGCTGACCTTTCAATTTCAACGTACCTCTCTATAACATGACCCAGCTGTAATGTCAGCGGTCGCATTGCTTTCATTTTTGGTTTGCTTGTAGGGCGCTGGCACCCACAATCAGTGACCCTAAAAATTTGGCACTGCTGTGAATAGTTTAGTCGCAAAGTGAAGATTCATTGGTAAAAAGCCCCAAACTTCTAGATAGGTTCTTTTTCAACTTTCAGCAGCCCTGGGCGAGTTCTTTAGAGAAATGTGGCTCTTTTTCATGGTGCTCTTGTCTATGTCCAGCTACACAACGAGATGAGGATGGTCATTGTCATTTTCTGAGCTGCGAACGGGCAGAAAGGTGAGAAAATGTCGGATTTTGACCATTTGTGCCGACCTTTCAATTTCAACGTACCTCCCTATAACATGACCCAGCTGTAATTTAAGTGGTCGCATTGGTTTAATTTTGGGTTTGCTTGTAGGGCGCTGGCAGCCGCATTCAGTGACCCATAAAATTTGGCACTGCTTTGAATAGTTTAGTCGCAAAGTGAAGATTCACGGGTAAAAACCCCAAACTTCTAGATAGGTTCTTTTTCAGCTTTCAGCAGCCCTGGGTGAGTTCTTTAGAGAAATGTGGCTCTTTTTCATGGTGCTCTTGTCTATGTCCAGCTAACCAACGAGATGAGGATGGTCATTGTCATTTTCTAAGCTGCGAACGGGCAGGAAGGTGAGAAAATGTCGGATTTTGACCATTTGTGCTGACCTTTCAATTTCAACGTACCTCTCTATAACATGACCCAGCTGTAATGTCAGCGGTCACATTGGTTTCATTTTTGGTTTGCTTGTAGGGCGCTAGCACCCACAATCAGTGACCCTAAAAATTTGGCACTGCTGTGAATAGTTTAGTCGCAAAGTGAATATTCACGGGTAAAAAGCCCCAAACTTCTAGATAGGTTCTTTTTCAACTTTCAGCAGCCCTGGGCGAGTTCTTTAGAGAAATGTGGCTCTTTTTCATGGTGCTCTTGTCTATGTCCAGCTACACAACGAGATGAGGATGGTCATTGTCATTTTCTGAGCTGCGAACGGGCAGAAAGGTGAGAAAATGTCGGATTTTGACCATTTGTGCTGACCTTTCAATTTCAACGTACCTCTCTATAACATGACCAAGCTGTAATTTCAGTGGTCGCATTGGTTTAATTTTTGGTTTCCTTGTAGGGCGCTGGCACCCGCATTCAGTGACCCAGAAAATTTGGCACTGCTGTGAATAGTTTAGTCGCAAAGTAAAAGATTCACGGGTAAAAAGCCCCAAACTTCTAGACAGGTTCTTTTTCAGCTTTCAGCAGCCCTGGGCGAGTTCTTTAGAGAAATGTGACTCCTTTACATTGTGCTCTTGTCTATGTCCAGCTAACCAACGAGATGAGGATGGTCATTGTCATATTCTAAGCTGCGAACGGGCAGAAAGGTGAGGAAATGTCGGATTTTGACCATTTGTGCTGACCTTTTAATTTCAACGTACCTCTCTATAACATGACCCAGCTGTAATGTAAGTGGTCGTATTGATTTGATTTTTGGTTTGCTTTTAGGGCGCTGGCACCCGCATTCATTGACCCAGAAAATTTGGCACTGCTGTGAATAGTTTAGTCGCAAAGTGAAGATTCATGGGTAAAAAGCCCCAAACTTCTAGATAGGTTCTTTTTCAGCTTTCAGCAGCCCAGGCCGAGTTCTTTAGAGAAATGTGGGTCTTTTTCTTGGTGCTCTTGTCTATGTTCAGCTACACAACGAGATGAGGATGGTCATTGTCATTTTCTGAGCTGCGAACGGGCAGAAAGGTGAGAAAATGTCGGTTTTGACCATTTGTGCCGACCTTTCAATTTCAACGTACCTCTCTATAACATGACCCAGCTGTAATTTCAGTGGTCGCATTGGTTTCATTTTTGGTTTGCTTGTAGGGCGCTGGCACCCGCATTCAGTGACTCAGGAAATTTGGCACTGCTGTGAGTAGTTTAGTCGCAAAGTGAAGATTCACAGGTAAAATGCCCCAAACTTCTAGATGGGTTCTTTTGAGCTTTCAGCAGCCCTGGGCGAGTTCTTTAGAGAAATGTGACTCTTTTTCATGGTGCTCTTGTCTATGTCCAGCTAACCAACGAGATGAGGATGGTCATTGTCATTTTCTAAGCTGCGAACGGGCAGAAAGGTGAGAAAATGTCGGATTTTGACCATTTGTGCCGACCTTTCAATTTCAACGTACCTCTCTATAACATGACCCAGCTGTAATGTCAGCGGTCGCATTGGTTTCGTTTTTGGTTTGCTTGTAGGGCGCTGGCACCCACAATCAGTGACCCTAAAAATTTGGCACTGCTGTGAATAGTTTAGTCGCAAAGTGAAGATTCACGGGTAAAAAGCCCCAAACTTCTAGATAGGTTCTTTTTCAGCTTTCAGCAGCCCTGGGTGAGTTCTTTAGAGAAATGTGTCTCTCTTTCATTGTGGTATTTTCTATGTCCAGCTACACAACGAGATGAGGATGGTCATTGTCATTTTCTGAGCTGCGAACGGGCAGAAAGGTGAGAAAATGTCGGATTTTGACCATTTGTGCTGACCTTTCAATTTCAACGTACCTCTCTATAACATGACTCAGCTGTAATTTCAGTGGTTGCATTGGTTTCATTTTTGGTTTGCTTTTAGGGCGCTGGCACCCGCATTCAGTGACCCAGAAAATTTGGCACTGCTGTGAATAGTTTAGTCGCAAAGTGAAGATTCATGGGTAAAAAGCCCCAAACTTTTAGATAGGTTCTTTTTCAGCTTTCAGCAGCCCAGGCCGAGTTCTTTAGAGAAATGTGGGTCTTTTTCTTGGTGCTCTTGTCTATGTCCAGCTACACAACGAGATGAGGATGGTCATTGTCATTTTCTTAGCTGGGAACGCGCAGAAAGGTGAGAAAATGTCGGATTTTGACCATTTGTGCTGACCTTTTAATTTCAACGTACCTCTCTATAACATGAACCAGCTGTAATGTCAGTGGTCGCATTGATTTGATTTTTGGTTTGCTTTTAGGGCGCTGGCACCCGCATTCATTGACTCAGAAAATTTGGCACTGCTGCGAATAGTTTAGTCGCAAAGTGAAGATTCACGGGTAAAAAGCCCCAAACTTCTAGATAGGTTCTTTTTCAGCTTTCAGCAGCCCTGGGCGAGTTCTTTAGAGAAATGTGACTCTTTTTCATGGTGCTCTTGTCTATGCCCAGCTAACCAACGAGATGAGGATGGTCATTGTCATTTTCTAAGCTGCGAACGGGCAGAAAGGTGAGAAAATGTCGGATTTTGACCATTTGTGCTGACCTTTCAATTTCAACGTACCTCTCTATAACATGACCCAGCTGTAATGTCAGCGGTCGCATTGGTTTCATTTTTGGTTTGCTTGTAGGGCGCTGGCACCCACAATCAGTGACCCTAAAAATTTGGTACTGCTGTGAATAGTTTAGTCGCAAAGTGAAGATTCACGGGTAAAAAGCCCCAAACTTGTAGATAGGTTCTTTGTCAGCTTTCAGCAGCCCTGGGTGAGTTCTTTAGAGAAATGTGGCTGTTTTTCATGGTGCTATTTTCTATGTCCAGCTACACAACGAGATGAGGATGGTCATTGTCATTTTCTGAGCTGCGAACGGGCAGAAAGGTGAGAAAATGTCGGATTTTGACCATTTGTGCCGACCTTTCAATTTCAACGTACCTCTCTATAACATGAACCAGCTGTAATGTCAGTGGTCGCATTGATTTTTGGTTTGCTTTTAGGGCGCTGGCACCCGCATTCATTGACTCAGAAAATTTGGCATCGCTGTGAATAGTTTAGTCGCAAAGTGAAGATTCACGGGTAAAAAGCCCCAAACTTCTAGATAGGTTCTTTTTCAGCTTTCAGCAGCCCTGGGCGAGTTCTTTAGAGAAATGTGACTCTTTTTCATGGTGCTCTTGTCTATGACCAGCTAACCAACGAGATGAGGATGGTCATTGTCATTTTCTAAGCTGCGAACGGGCAGAAAGGTGAGAAAATGTCGGATTTTGACCATTTGTGCTGACCTTTCAATTTCAACGTACCTCTCTATAACATGACCCAGCTGTAATGTCAGCGGTCGTATTGGTTTCATTTTTGGTTAGCTTGTAGGGCGCTGGCACCCGCATTCAGTGACCCTAAAAATTTGGCACTGCTGTGAATAGTTTAGTCGCAAAGTGAAGATTCACGGGTAAAAAGCCCCAAACTTCTAGATAGGTTCTTTGTCAGCTTTCAGCAGCCCTGGGCGAGTTCTTTAGAGAAATGTGGGTCTCTTTCTTGGTGCTCTTGTCTATGTCCAGCTACACAACGAGATGAGGATGGTCATTGTCATTTTCTGAGCTGCGAACGGGCAGAAAGGTGAGAAAATGTCGGATTTTGACCATTTGTGCCGACCTTTCAATTTCAACGTACCTCTCTATAACATGACCCAGCTGTAATGTCAGCGGTCGCATTGGTTTCATTTTTGGTTTGGTTGTAGGGCGCTGGCACCCACAATCAGTGACCCTAAAAATTTGGCACTGCTGTGAATAGTTTAGTCGCAAAGTGAAGATTCACGGGTAAAAAGCCCCAAACTTCTAGATAGGTTCTTTATCAGCTTTCAGCAGCCCTGGGTGAGTTCTTTAGAGAAATGTGGCTGTTTTTCATGGTGCTATTTTCTATGTCCAGCTACACAACGAGATGAGGATGGTCATTGTCATTTTCTGAGCTGCGAACGGGCAGAAAGGTGAGAAAATGTCGGATTTTGACCATTTGTGCTGACCTTTCAATTTCAACGTACCTCTCTATAACATGACCCTGCTGTAATTTCAGTGGTCGCATTGGTTTCATTTTTGGTTTGCTTGTAGGGCGCTAGCACCTGCATTCAGTGACCCAGAAAATTTGGCACTGCTGTGAATAGTTTAGTCGCAAAGTGAAGATTCACGGGTAAAAAGCCCCAAACTTCTAGATAGGTTCTTTTTCAGCTTTCAGCAGCCCTGGGCGAGTTCTTTAGAGAAATGTGACTCTTTTTCATGGTGCTCTTGTCTATGTCCAGCTAACCAACGAGATGAGGAAGGTCATTTTCATTTTCTAAACTGCGAACGGGCAGAAAGGTGAGAAAATGTCGGATTTTGACCATTTGTGCCGACCTTTCAATTTCAACGTACCTCTCTATAACATAACCCAGCTGTAATTTCAGTGGTCGCATTGGTTTCATTTTTGGTTTGCTTGTAGGGCGCTGGCACCCGCATTCAGTGACCCAGAAAGTTTGGCACTGCTGGGAATAGTTTAGTCGCAAAGTGAAGATTCACGGGTAAAAAGCCCCTAACTTCTAGATAACGTTAGGTTCTTTTTCAGCTTTCAGCAGCCCTGGGTGAGTTCTTTAGAGAAATGTGGCTGTTTTTCATGGTGCTATTTTCTATGTCCAGCTACACAACGAGATGAGGATGGTCATTGTCATTTTCTGAGCTGCCAACGGGCAGAAAGGTGAGAAAATGTCGGATTTGATCATTTCTGCTGACCTTTCAATTTCAACGTACCTCTCTATAACATGACCCCGCTGTAATTTCAGTGGTCGCATTGGTTTCATTTTTGGTTTGCTTGTAGGGCGCTGTTCAGTGACCCATAAAATTTGGCACTGCTGTGAATAGTTAATCGTAAAGTGAAGATTCACGGGTAAAAAGCCCCAAACTTCTAGATAGGTTCTTTTTCAGCTTTCAGCAGCCCTGGGCGAGTTCTTTAGAGAAATGTGACTTTTTTTCTTGGTGCTCTTGTCTATGTCCAGCTAACCAACGAGATGAGGATGGTCATTGTCATTTTCTGAGCTGCAAACGGGCAGAAAGGTTAGAAAATGTCGGATTTTGACCATTTGTGCTGACCTTTCAATTTCAACGCACCTCTCTATAACATGACCCAGCTGTAATGTCAGCGGTCACATTGGTTTCATTTTTGGTTTGCTTGTAGGGCGCTAGCACCCACAATCAGTGACCCTAAAAATTTGGCACTGCTGTGAATAGTTTAGTCGCAAAGTGAAGATTCACGGGTAAAAAGCCCCAAACTTCTAGATAGGTTCTTTTTCAACTTTCAGCAGCCCTGGGCGAGTTCTTTAGAGAAATGTGGCTCTTTTTCATGGTGCTCTTGTCTATGTCCAGCTACACAACGAGATGAGGATGGTCATTGTCATTTTCTGAGCTGCGAACGGGCAGAAAGGTGAGAAAATGTCGGATTTTGACCATTTGTGCTGACATTTCAATTTCAACGTACCTCTCTATAACATGACCCAGCTGTAATTTCAGTGGTCGCATTGGTTTAATTTTTGGTTTCCTTGTAGGGCGCTGGCACCCGCATTCAGTGACCCAGAAAATTTGGCACTGCTGTGAATAGTTTAGTGGCAAAGTAAAAGATTCACGGGTAAAAAGCCCCAAACTTCTAGACAGGTTCTTTTTCAGCTTTCAGCAGCCCTGGGCGAGTTCTTTAGAGAAATGTGACTCCTTTACATTGTGCTCTTGTCTATGTCCAGCTAACCAACGAGATGAGGAAGGTCATTTTTATTTTCTAAACTGCGAACGGGCAGAAAGGTGAGAAAATGTCGGATTTTGACCATTTGTGCTGACCTTTCAATTTCAACGTACCTCTCTATAACATGACCCAACTGTAATTTCAGTGGTCGCATTGGTTTCATTTTTGGTTTGCTTGCAGGGCGCTGGCACCCGCATTCAGTGACTCATAAAATTTGGCACTGCTGTGAATAGTTTAGTCGCAAAGTGAAGATTCACGGGTAAAAAGCCCCAAACTTCTAGATAGGTTCTTTTTCAGCTTTCAGCAGCCCTGGGCGAGTTCTTTAGAGAAATGTGACTCTTTTTCATGGTGCTCTTGTCTATGTCCAGCTAACCAACGAGATGAGGATGGTCATTGTCATTTTCGAAGCTGCGAACGGGCAGAAAGGTGAGAAAATGTCGGATTTTGACCATTTGTGCTGACCTTTCAATTTCAACGTACCTCTCTATAACATGACCCAGCTGTAATGTCAGCGGTCGCATTGGTTTCATTTTTGGTTTGCTTGTAGGGCGCTGGCACCCACAATCAGTGACCCTAAAAATTTGGCCCTGCTGTGAATAGTTTAGTCGCAAAGTGAAGATTCATGGGTAAAAAGCCCCAAACTTCTAGATAGGTTCTTTTTCAACTTTCAGCAGCCCTGGGCGAGTTCTTTAGAGGAATGTGGCTCTTTTTCATTGTGCTCTTGTCTATGTCCAGCTACACAACGAGATGAGGATGGTCATTGTCATTTTCTGAGCTGAGAACGGGCAGAAAGGTGAGAAAATGTCGGATTTTGACCATTTGTGCCGACCTTTCAATTTCAACGTACCTCCCTATAACATGACCCAGCTGTAATTTCAGTGGTCGCATTTGTTTCATTTTTGGTTTGCTTGTAGGGCGCTGGCACCCGCATTCAGTGACCCTAAAAATTTGGCACTGCTGTGAATAGTTTAGTCGCAAAGTGAAGATTCACGGGTAAAAAGCCCCAAACTTCTAGATAGGTTCTTTTTCAGCTTTCAGCAGCCCTGGGCGAGTTCTTTAGAGAACTGTGGGTCTTTTTCTTGGTGCTCTTGTCTATGTCCAGCTACACAACGAGATGAGGATGGTCATTGTCATTTTCTGAGCTGCGAACGGGCAGAAAGGTGAGAAAATGTCGGATTTTGACCATTTGTGCTGACCTTTCAATTTCAACGTACCTCTCTATAACATGACCCAGCTGTATTTTCAGTGGTCGCATTGGTTTCATTTTTGGTTTGCTTGTAGGGCGCTGGCACCCGCATTCAGTGACCCATAAAATTTGGCACTGCTGTGAATAGTTTAGTCGCAAAGTGAAGATTCACGGGTAAAAAGCCCCAAACTTCTAGATAGGTTCTTTTTCAGCTTTCAGCAGCACTGGGTGAGTTCTTTAGAGAAATGTGGCTCTTTTTCATGGTACTATTTTCTATGTCCAGCTACACAACGAGATGAGGATGGTCATTGTCATTTTCTGAGCTGCGAACGGGCAGAAAGGTGAGAAAATGTCGGATTTTGACCATTTGTGCTGACCTTTCAATTTCAACGTACCTCTCTATAACATGACCGAGCTGTAATGTCAGCGGTCACATTGGTTTCATTTTTGGTTTGCTTGTAGGGCGCTGGCACCCACAATCAGTGACCCAGAAAATTTGGCACTGCTGTGAATAGTTTAGTCGCAAAGTTAAGATTCATAGGTAAAAAGCCCCAAACTTCTAGATAGGTTCTTTTTCAGCTTTCAGCACCCCTGGGCGAGTTCTTTAGAGAAATGTGGCTCTTTTTCATGGTGCTATTTTCTATGTCCAGCTACACAACGAGATGAGGATGGTCATTGTCATTTTCTTAGCTGGGAACGCGCAGAAAGGTGAGAAAATGTCGGATTTTGACCATTTGTGCTGACCTTTCAATTTCAACGTACCTCTCTATAACATGACCCAGCTGTTATGTCAGTGGTCGCATTGGTTTCATTTTTGGTTTGCTTGTAGGGCGCTGCCACCCACAATCAGTGACCCTAAAAATTTGGCACTGCTGTGAATAGTTTAGTCGCAAAGTGAAGATTCACGGGTAAAAAGCCCCAAACTTCTAGATAGGTTCTTTTCAGCTTTCAGCAGCCCTGGGTGAGTTCTTTAGAGAACTGTGGCTCTTTTTCATGGTGCTATTTTCTATGTCCAGCGACACAACGAGATGAGGATGGTCATTGTCATTTTCTGAGCTGCGAACGGGTAGAACGGTGAGAAAATGTCGGATTTTGACCATTTGTGCTGACCTTTCAATTTCAACGTACCTCTCTATAACATGACCCAGCTGTAATTTCAGTGGTCGCATTGGTTTCATTTTTGGTTGGCTTGTAGGGCGCTGGCACCCGCATTCAGTGACCCATAAAATTTGGCACTGCTGTGAATAGTTAAGTCGCAAAGTGAAGATTCACGGGTAAAAAGCCCCAAACTTCTAGATAGGTTCTTTTTCAGCTTTCAGCAGCCCTGGGTGAGTTCTTTCGAGAAATGTGGCTCTTTTTCATGGTGCCATTTTCTATGTCCAGCGACACAACGAGATGAGGATGGTCATTGTCATTTTCTGAGCTGCGAACGGGCAGAAAGGTGAGAAAATGTCGGATTTTGACCATTTGTGCTGACCTTTCAATGTCGACGTACCTCTCTATAACATGACCCAGCTATAATGTCAGTGTTAGCATTGGTTTGATTTTTTGGTTTGCTTTTAGGGCGCTGGCACCCGCATTCAGTGACCCAGAAAATTTGGCACTGCTGTGAATAGTTTAGTCGCAAACTGAAGATTCACGGGTAAAAAGCCCCATACTTCTAGATGGGTTCTTTTTCAGCTTTCAGCAACCCTGGGCGAGTTCTTTAGAGAAATGTGGCTCTTTTTCATGGTGCTATTTTCTATGTCCAGCTACACAACGAGATGAGGATGGTCATTGTCATTTTCTTAGCTGCGAACGGGCAGAAAGGTGAGAAAATGGTGGATTTTGACCATTTGTGCTGACCTTTCAATTTCAACGTACCTCTCTATAACACGACCCAGCTGTAATGTCAGTGGTCGCATTGGTTTGATTTTTGGTTTGTTTGTAGGGCGCTGGCACCCACATTCAGTGACCCAGAAAATGTGGCACTGCTGTGAATAGTTTTGTCGCAAAGTGAAGATTCACGGGTACAAAGCCCTACACTTCTAGATAGGTTCTTTTCCAGCTTTCAGCAGCCCTGGGCGAGTTCTTTAGAGAAATGTGGCTCTTTTTCATGGTGCTATTTTCTATTTCCAGCTACACAACGAGATGAGGATGTTCATTGTCATTTTCTGAGCTGAGAACGGGCAGAAAGGTGAGAAAATGTCGGATTTTAACCATTTGTGCTGACCTTTCAATTTCAACGTACCTCTCTATAACATGACCCAGCTGTTATGTCAGTGGTCGCATTGATTTGATTTTTGGTTTGCTTTTAGGGCGCTGGCACCCGCATTCATTGAACTAGAAAATTTGGCACTGCTGTGAATAGTTTAGTCGCAAAGTGAAGATTCACGGGTAAAAAGCCCCAAACTTCTAGATAGGTTCTTTTTCAGCTTTCAGCACCCCTGGGTGAGTTCTTTAGAGAAATATGGTTCTTTTTCATGGTGCTCTTGTCTATGTCCAGCGACCTAACGAGATGAGGATGGTCATTGTCATTTTCTGAGCTGCGAACGGGCAGAAAGGTGAGAAAATGTCGGATTTTGACCATTTGTGCTGACCCTTCAATTTCAACGTACCTCTCTATAACATGACCCAGCTGTAATGTCAGTGGTCGCATTGGTTTGATTTTTGGTTTCCTTGTAGGGCGCTGGCACCCGCATTCAGTGACCCAGAAAATTTGGCACTGCTGTGAATAGTTTAGTCGCAAAGTGAAGATTCACGGGTAAAAAGCCCCACACTTCTAAATAGGTTCTTTTTCAGCTTTCAGAAGCCCTGGGTGAGTTCTTTAGAGAAATGTGGCTCTTTTTCATGGTGCTATTTTCTATGTCGAGCTACACAACGAGATGAGGATGGTCATTGTCATTTTCTGAGCTGCGAACGGGCAGAAAGGTGAGAAAATGTCGGATTTTGACCATTTGTGCTGACCTTTCAATTTCAACGTACCTCTCTATAACATGACCCAGCTGTAATTTCAGTGGTCGCATTGGTTTCATTTTTGGTTTGCTTGTAGGGCGCTGGCACCCGCATTCAGTGACCCAGAAAATTTGGCACTGCTGTGAATAGTTTAGTCGCAAAGTGAAGATTCACGGGTAAAAAGCCCCAAACTTCTAGATAGGTTCTTTGTCAGCTTTCAGCAGCCCTGGGTGAGTTCTTTAGAGAAATGTGGCTCTTTTTCATTGTGCTATTTTCTATGTCCAGCGACACAACGAGATGAGGATGGTCATTGTCATTTTCTGAGCTGCGAACGGGCAGAAAGGTGAGAAAATGTCGGATTTTGACCATTTGTGCTGACCTTTCAATTTCAACGTACCTCTCTATAACATGACCCAGCTGTAATTTCAGTGGTCGCATTGGTTTGATTTTTGGTTTGCTTGTAGGGCGCTGGCACCCGCATTCAGTGACCCAGAAAATTTGGCACTGCTGTGAATAGTTTAGTCGCAAAGTGAAGATTCACGGGTAAAAAGCCCCAAACTTCTAGATAGGTTCTTTGTCAGCTTTCAGCAGCCCTGGGTGAGTTCTTTAGAGAAATGTGGCTCTTTTTCATTGTGCTATTTTCTATGTCCAGCGACACAACGAGATGAGGATGGTCATTGTCATTTTCTGAGCTGCGAACGGGCAGAAAGGTGAGAAAATGTCGGATTTTGACCATTTGTGCTGACCTTTCAATTTCAACGTACCTCTCTATACATGACCCAGCGGTAATGTCAGTGGTCGCATTGGTTTGATTTTTGGTTTCCTTGTAGGGCGCTGGCACCCACATTCAGTGACCCAGAAAATTTGGCACTGCTGTGAATAGTTTAGTCGCAAAGTGAATATTCACGGGTAAAAAGCCCCAAACTTCTAGATAGGTTTATTTTTCAGCTTTCAGCAGCCCTGGGCGTGTTCTTCAGAGAAATGTGGGTCTTTTTCTTGGTGCTATTTTCTATTTCCAGCTACACAACGAGATGAGGATGGTCATTGTCATTTTCTGAGCTGCGAACATGTAGAAGGGTGAGAAAATGTCGGATTTTGACCATTTGTGCTGACCTTTCAATTTCAACGTACCTCTCTATAACATGACCCAGCGGTAATGTCAGTGGTCGCATTCGTTTGATTTTTGGTTTCCTTGTAGGGCGCTGGCACCCACATTCAGTGACCCAGAAAATTTGGCACTGCTGTGAATAGTTTAGTCGCAAAGTGAATATTCACGGGTAAAAAGCCCCAAACTTCTAGATAGGTTCTTTTTCAGCTTTCAGCAGCCCTGGGCGTGTTCTTCAGAGAAATGTGGGTCTTTTTCTTGGTGCTATTTTCTATTTCCAGCTACACAACGAGATGAGGATGTTCATTGTCATTTTCTGAGCTGCGAACATGTAGAAGGGTGAGAAAATGTCGGATTTTGACCATTTGTGCTGACCTTTCAATTTCAACGTACCTCTCTATAACATGACCCAGCTGTAATGTCAGTGGTCGCATTAATTTGATTTTTGGTTTGCTTTTAGGGCGCTGGCACCCGCATTCATTGACCCAGAAAAATTGGCACTGCTGTTAATAGTTTAGTCGCAAAGTGAAGATTCACGGGTAAAAAGCCCCAAACTTCTAGATAGGTTCTTTTTCAGCTTTCAGCAGCCCTGGGTGAGTTCTTTAGAGAAATGTGGCTCTTTTTCATTGTGCTTTTTTCTATGTCCAGCGACACAACGAGATGAGGATGGTCATTGTCATTTTGTGAGCTGCGAACGGGCAGAAAGTCGAGAAAATGTCGGATTTTCACCATTTGTGCTGACCTTTCAATTTCAACGTACCTCTCTATAACATAAACCAGCTGTAATGTCAGTGGTCGCATTCGTTTCATTTTTGGTTTGCTTTTAGGACGCTGGCACCCGCATTTATTGACCCAGAAAATTTGGCACTGCCGTGAATAGTTTAGTCGCAAAGTGAAGATTCACGGGTAAAAAGCCCCAAACTTCTAGATAGGTTCTTTTTCAGCTTTCAGCAGCCCTGGGCGAGTTCTTTAGAGAAATGTGGCACTTTTTCATTGTGCTATTTTCTATGTCCAGCTACACAACGAGATGAGGATGGTCGTGGTCATTTTCTTAGCTGCGAACGGGCAGAAAGGTGAGAAAATGTCGGATTTTGACCATTTGTGCTGACCTTTCAATTTCAACGTACCTCTCTATAACATGACCCAGCTGTAATGTCAGTGGTCGCATTGGTTTGATTTTTGGTTTGCTTTTAGGACGCTGGCACCCGCATTCATTGACCCAGAAAATTTGGCACTGCTGTGAATAGTTTAGTCGCAAAGTGAATATTCACGGGTAAAAAGCCCCAAACTTCTAGATGGGTTCTTTTTCAGCTTTCAGCAGCCCTGGGCGAGTTCTTTAGAGAAATGTGGCTCTTTTTCATGGTGCTATTTTCTATGTCCAGCTACACAACGAGATGAGGATGGTCATTGTCATTTTCTGAGCTGCGAACGGGCAGAAAGGTGAGAAAATGTCGGATTTTGACCATTTGTGCTGACCTTTCAATTTCAACGTACCTCTCTATAACATGACCCAGCGGTAATGTCAGTGGTCGCATTGGTTTGATTTTTTGGTTTCCTTGTAGGGCGCTGGCACCCACATTCAGTGACTCATAAAATTTGGCACTGCTGTGAATAGTTTAGTCGCAAAGTGAAGATTCACGGGTAAAAAGCCCCAAACTTCTAGATAGGTTCTTTTTCAGCTTTCAGCAGCCCTGGGCGTGTTCTTCAGAGAAATGTGGGTCTTTTTCTTGGTGCTATTTTCTATTTCCAGCTACACAACGAGATGAGGATGGTCATTGTCATTTTCTGAGCTGCGAACATGTAGAAGGGTGAGAAAATGTCGGATTTTGACCATTTGTGCTGACCTTTCAATTTCAACGTACCTCTCTATAACTAGGGAGTTCAGGCAAAAAAATCAAATTCAGAATTCCCAGGAAAATTCTGTTGGAAATCGAATAAGCACGTCTTTCAAGAGCACACAGAAAATTTCATGTGAAAATCTCAAAGCAAACCTGAGATACAGTCATTTCAATTGTGGTGCCAATCATCATAGAATTGTGTTGAATTGTATGTAAACGTGTATAGCACGCATGGCACAAACTGACAAACGGACCCAGGGGAAGTTGACCAGGGGACATAGTGACAAAAACAAAAAGTTCGCTGAAAAGAGCCCAAATGACAGGCCTATATGATAAGCAATAATGTACAAACATTTCTATGTACAACAACTGCCTGACGGCACGTCGCCGTGTATTGTTTCCATGGCAACCCCTAGCAACATTGCAGAAACGCAACGAAACATATCAATGATGACAATATGGAGTGAAAACGTTGCACAAGCGTGGTAAAACAAAAATGGAATGTAGGTTAACAGTGTTAACGGGAAATTCTAGCATTGTTACCATAGCAACGGAACAGGAAAAAAGTGAAGAGAACAGTTGGAAGAGGGGAAGACACAAAAAAGACAATAAAAACAGTCAACACAATAACCACAAACTTGTCTTGACCATGTCTTTGACCATGTCTTTGGACAATAAAATTATTCATTTTCAACGCGGAGCCGTTTTGCTGTTGGCTCCAGCTCGCAATCTACATTGTCAGCCGAGGTGGTGGTGTTGGCGGCTGGCTCTGACGAAGCTGCTCGCTGACTGTCCACATCAGCCGGACTGGTGGTGTAAGTGGTTGGCTCCAGGGGAGTTGCGTGCTGACTGCCTGCAACATGAGCCGAGCTGCTGGTGTGGCCGGTTGGGTCAAGCGGAGTTGCTTCCTGACCGGATGCAGCAGCACCTGAGCTGGCAGTGTTCGATACATTCAGTAGCTCGCAGAGATGGCTGATCAGTGTTTGAACAGGATGTTGTTTTCCACCCTTAGACATGGCAAAGAGATCTCCTGATGCCTTCTGATTCAGGACAACTTTCCGGAACTGCAGCTGCGCTTTCAAAGCCGCCTTCTTTGCTGCAATGGTGCTCAGGAGTGCAACCTTTTCGTCAACTTCTTGTCTGGATGTCCACAGACCATAGCGCTCAACATCTTTCGTCAAAGCTTCTTTCCTCTTCAGCTCCTTCTCCCTCTTCTCTGCAATCTCCTTTGCTTTGTCACGAAGTCGCTGAACGCAGTACTCATGGATTTCCTTCTGGCGCTTCCTGAAGGCTTCCTGCATAGCTGGAGCTGTCTGCCGTGCCATTTGGAGGATTTCGGCTTGTTCCTGGGCAGGTTTACTGGTCAGCCATTCTGCGGTTTTGTTATTAGAAAACATAATCATCCCCTCCAGCGCGATAGTTCTTGAATTGGGCTTTTCTCGGATAAGTCGATCCAGTTGCGCGAAATCACGTTCAGAAACGACATTGGTGTTGCTGACAGAGGCAGTTTGCACTCTGGTTGCCTCGTCAGGTTTATGGAACGCACCGCCTGGCAGATGATCGGAGAGTAGGTTAGATGTATACCGAGCATACACGGTGCATAACATCTGCAAAATCTCAACAGTGGTAGTGTCACTCGGACTGGGCTGCAGCAGGTAAGTGAGCACGGGGTCGGTGAGGGAAACTGAAGCATCTGTGAACGGCCGAGCGGTGCCGTCGAGGAGGTCCGCAGAATCATTCGTCCAGTACTCAAATTTCTTCTGGAGCTGACTGTAGACGTTGGACATGTCAGAGATGGAGATTGATTTGCTTTCCAAAGCCTTCCACAATGGCATTATGACGAGCTTGGAGAGAATTCCAAGGGCTCTTGCACCAGATAACAATTCTGGGATTGCAAGGTCAGCCTTGACAGCACGGAGGAGTTGGTTGGGGTCCGCCTGAACATCCTGCAGGAACGTTGTCATGAGCTCGTGAAGGTAATACACTCCAGCACCATTGAAGTAGCAAACATAGCTGCGGTTGCCTCTCTGCTCTGCCAAAGGCACCACTCCCCCCATGTCAGTCACATAACTACGAAAGGCATGCATGCACCCAGCCTGCTCATTCCCATGTTTCTGAAACGCATTTGCAGCATTGCGAAGTAATCTGAAGACCCGAGACCCGTCTGTATCATACACACCATGCAAAGTATGTGCACCAAATGGCTGATCACCAAAATGCATGTCCTCCCATTTCCTCATTGCAATCTGTGATTGGTCGGCCAAGCCAACAATGAAATGCATTCCACAAAAGAAATTATTCATGTTGGAAAATGAACTTTGCTGCTCATTGCTCAATGTCTCCCAGCTAGCAACAACATCAGGCAAAATCTTCTCTCGATAGTCATGTAACAACTCATTGAACTTTCTTTGTACAACACACCGGTCACTCATCGTGTTCTTGATGTTCGCTACAATCTTATTGCCAGTTTCACAAGACTCGCCAACACCCTTGCACGAATCCTGAAGGTCGGACAAAACCTCCTTGAACTTATCAAGGATGTGCTCTGACGTGCCATTTTTCATATCTACCATACCCACACTAAAAACTTGATTTTCAGTGGCAATTTGGTAGGTACCATACTTCTGACCAAACTTACTCGTGCCATCAGTGTGCAAGGTTGTATTTTCTGCCTGAGAAAGTACTTCAGCTGCATGCTGTGAACTAACTGATTTTAGCTGCACCAGCATCCCAGACAAAGTTCCTACACTAGGGAGTCTGTCTACTTTCTTGCTGACTAGGTTATGAAGTACACAATCAATGACCGATTTCACATTCCATATGCCCACATTCAATGCCAACAACTCCATACAACACTTGACTACTTCTGGGAGGTACGCATTGCCAGAAAATGTTGTAATCATGGAGCCACTACATTCTTCATGCAGCTGTGAACCTAAGTCATCAACCTCCAACTCCAACTGCTTAATTCTGCCGTCAGCTCTGGACAACAACAAAGACTTCTCCTGCAGTTCACGCTCTAGTTCCCTTCTGGAAGTATCTAAATCACCCGCACGCTTCTGCCAATAATACACTTTATGCTGCGTGTTAACTAGCTTCCTCTTCAGCTCATCTACCATAGGCATGTCATCCTCACTGCCCTGTTCATCCTGTTCATCATACTCATCTTCAACCATATCAGCCTCTACTGAACTAGCTACCTTAGCCTCCAGTGATCTGATTGTCTCATCTCGACGTCCCAATTTCTTTTTAACATTTCGTAGCTTCCCTTGCCCAACCTTCATTTTCTCCTTTAAAGATCCCACTAATTCCTCCTGTGCCTTAGCTTCTCTCTGCACCTGGAAAACCTCTGCTGCCAAAGGCTCAGTTGTTGTACCAACTTCAGTGCTGGAGGTGCTTTCCCTATCACGCTCACCTGACTCCGACTGGCCGGATGATGGAGAGGGTAGTATAAAGGGCTCAGCCAGTAGGACAGCAATCTGATCGCTGGCTTTGTCCTTCAGCAGCCTTGCTCGACGTTGCTGCAGAGAACGGACTCTAGAGGCAAACGTGCCAACAGCAATATCTTTGGTACTGGAACCTATCAGAGAACCAGTCCATTTCAACATATCGTTGAACGAAAACTTCGAGGCATTTTTGAATGTAAGTAGCTCCAGAACGACATCGTTGGTGACAGGAAAATCACTCGTCTTCAAACAGGTAAGAGCTTCGTCTGATTTCAACGCATTTCTCAGTTTGCTTGAATAAATACCAAGCCTCCGACATGCAGGTCCAGGGCTATTCTCCTCCTCATCGGCCATGAAGAATTCAAATATTCAAATTCTCGCTGTAGAGAAATACAGAGCAGACAAATATTCCTTACCGCCTGGAACCGCTGCAAACTAGATGAAGAAAGACGATCGTTCTTACCTAATTTTGGGACGAGGAACACGATGGAAGAATCACCGTCCGTCAACGCTCAAAGGAACAACATCAAAATCGCGTTCAAAGTTTTACGGCAAGACGTGGGAAGTCCCATCTCACGACTGTGACCTCGAGTGAGACACCAAACGAAAGCTAAAAATCTCCTCTGTCAAATGGCTGTCATCTCCTTCTTCAACAAACTACAAGTCTAAAAAAAAATCAATATTTCCACGTGGCACATTTTTGTGCCATGCTCGCGTCATAAATGCATGCATGACGCGTGACGAAGATTTTTCACCGTGCTGTCACGTGACTGAACTCCCTACTATAACATGACCCAGCGGTAATGTCAGTGGTCGCATTGGTTTGATTTTTGGTTTCCTTGTAGGGCGCTGGCACCCACATTCAGTGACCCAGAAAATTTGGCACTGCTGTGAATAGTTTAGTCGCAAAGTGAATATTCACGGGTAAAAAGCCCCAAACTTCTAGATAGGTTCTTTTTCAGCTTTCAGCAGCCCTGGGCGTGTTCTTCAGAGAAATGTGGGTCTTTTTCTTGGTGCTATTTTCTATTTCCAGCTACACAACGAGATGAGGATGTTCATTGTCATTTTCTGAGCTGCGAACATGTAGAAGGGTGAGAAAATGTCGGATTTTGACCATTTGTGCTGACCTTTCAATTTCAACGTACCTCTCTATAACATGACCCAGCTGTAATGTGAGTGGTCGCATTAATTTGATTTTTGGTTTGCTTTTAGGGCGCTGGCACCCGCATTCATTGACCCAGAAAAATTGGCACTGCTGTTAATAGTTTAGTCGCAAAGTGAAGATTCACGGGTAAAAAGCCCCAAACTTCTAGATAGGTTCTTTTTCAGCTTTCAGTAGCCCTGGGTGAGTTCTTTAGAGAAATGTGGCTCTTTTTCATTGTGCTTTTTTCTATGTCCAGCGACACAACGAGATGAGGATGGTCATTGTCATTTTCTGAGCTGCGAACGGGCAGAAAGTCGAGAAAATGTCGGATTTTCACCATTTGTGCTGACCTTTCAATTTCAACGTACCTCTCTATAACATAAACCAGCTGTAATGTCAGTGGTCGCATTCGTTTCATTTTTGGTTTGCTTTTAGGACGCTGGCACCCGCATTTATTGACCCAGAAAATTTGGCACAGCCGTGAATAGTTTAGTCGCAAAGTGAAGATTCACGGGTAAAAAGCCCCAAACTTCTAGATAGGTTCTTTTTCAGCTTTCAGCAGCCCTGGGCGAGTTCTTTAGAGAAATGTGGCACTTTTTCATTGTGCTATTTTCTATGTCCAGCTACACAACGAGATGAGGATGGTCGTGGTCATTTTCTTAGCTGCGAACGGGCAGAAAGGTGAGAAAATGTCGGATTTTGACCATTTGTGCTGACCTTTCAATTTCAACGTACCTCTCTATAACATGACCCAGCTGTAATGTCAGTGGTCGCATTGGTTTGATTTTTGGTTTGCTTTTAGGACGCTGGCACCCGCATTCATTGACCCAGAAAATTTGGCACTGCTGTGAATAGTTTAGTCGCAAAGTGAATATTCACGGGTAAAAAGCCCCAAACTTCTAGATGGGTTCTTTTTCAGCTTTCAGCAGCCCTGGGCGAGTTCTTTAGAGAAATGTGGCTCTTTTTCATGGTGCTATTTTCTATGTCCAGCTACACAACGAGATGAGGATGGTCATTGTCATTTTCTGAGCTGCGAACGGGCAGAAAGGTGAGAAAATGTCGGATTTTGACCATTTGTGCTGACCTTTCAATTTCAACGTACCTCTCTATAACATGAACCAGCTGTAATGTCAGTGGTCGCATTGATTTGATTTTTCGTTTGCTTTTAGGGCGCTGGCACCCGCATTCATTGACCTAGAGAATTTGGCACTGCCGTGAATAGTTTAGTCGCAAAGTGAAGATTCACGGGTAAAAAGCCCCAAACTTCTAGATAGGTTCTTTTTCAGCTTTCAGCAGCCCTGGGTGAGTTCTTTAGAGAAATGTGGCTCTTTTTCATGGTGCTATTTTCTATGTCCAGCTACACAACGAGATGAGGATGGTCATTGTCATTTTCTGAGCTGCGAACGGGCAGAAAGGAGAGAAAATGTCGGATTTTGACCATTTGTGCTGACCTTTCAATTTCAACGTACCTCTCTATAACATGGCCCAGCTGTAATTTCAGTGGTCGCATTGGTTTCATTTTTGGTTTACTTGGAGGGCGCTGGCACCCGCATTCAGTGACCCATAAAATTTGGCACTGCTGTGAATAGTTTAGTCGCAAAGTGAAGATTCACGGGTAAAAAGCGCCAAACTTCTAGATAGGTTCTTGTTCAGCTTTCAGCAGCCCTGGGTGAGTTCTTTAGAAAAATGGCTCTTTTTCATGGTGCTATTTTCTATGTCCAGCGACACAACGAGATGAGGATGGTCATTGTCATTTTCTGAGCTGCGAACGGGCAGAAAGGTGAGAAAATGTCGGATTTTGACCATTTGTGCTGACCTTTCAATTTCAACGTACCTCTCTATAACATGAACCAGCTGTAATGTCAGTGGTCGCATTAGTTTGATTGTTGGTTTGCTTGTAGGGCACTGGCACCCACATTCAGTGACCCATAAAATTTGGCACTGCTGTGAATAGTTTAGATGTAAAGTGAAGATTCACGGGTAAAAAGCCCCAAACTTTGAGATAGGTTATTATTCAGCTTTCAGCCGCCCTGGGCGAGTTCTTTAGAGAAATGTGACTGCTTTTCTTGGTGCCCTTGTCTATGTCCAGCTACACAACGAGATGAGGATTGTCTTTGTCAATGTCTGAGCTGCGAACAGGCATAAAGGTGAGAAAATGTCGGATTTTGACCATTTGTGCTTACCTTTGAATTTCAACGTACCTCTCTATAACATGACCCAGCTGTAATGTCAGTGGTCGCATTGGTTTGAGTTTGGGTTTGCTTGTAGGACGCTGGCACCCACATTCAATGACCCATAAAAAATTTCACTGCTGTGAATAGTTTAGTCGCAAAGTGAAGATTCATGGGTACCAAACCCTAAACTTGGAGATAGGTTATTATTCAGCTTTCAGCAGCCCTGGGCGAGTTCTTTAGAGATATGTGACTGTTTTTCTTGGTGCCCTTGTCTATGTCCAGCTACACAACGAGATAAGGATTGTTTTTGTCAATGTCTGAGCTGCGAACGGGCAGAAAGGTGAGAAAATGTCGGATTTTGACCAGTTGGTCAACGTACCTCTCTATATCACTGCTGTGAATAGTTTAGTCGCAAAGTGAAGATTCATGGGTACCAAACCCTAAACATGGAGATTGGTTATAATTCAGCTTTCAGCAGCCCTGGGCGAGTTCTTTAGAGAAATGTGACTGTTTTACTTGGTGCCCTTGTCTATGTCCAGCTACACAACAAGATGAGGATTGTCTTTGTCAATTCCTGAGCTTCGAACAGGCATAAAGGTGAGAAAATGTCGGATTTTGACCAGTTGGTCTCACCTTCCAATTTCAATGTACCTCTCTATAACATGAGCCAGCTGTAATGTCAGTGGTCGCATTGGTTTGATTTTTGGTTTGCTTATAGGGCGCTGACACCCACATTCAGTGACCCAGACATTTTGGCACTCCTGTGAATAGTTTAATCGCAAAGGGAAGATTCACGGGTACCAAGCCCTAAACTTGGAGATAGGTCATTATTCAGCTTTCAGCAGCCGTGGGCGAGTTCTTTAGAGATATGTGACTGTTTTTCTTGGTGCCCTTGTCTATGTCCAGCTACACAACCAGATGAGGATGGTCATTGTCATTTTGTGAGCTGCGAACGGGCAGAAAGGTGAGAAAATGTCGGATTTTGACCATTTGTGCTCACCTTTGAATTTCAACGTACCTCTCTATAACATGAGCCAGCTGTAATGTCAGTGGTCGAATTGGTTTGATTTTTGGTTTGCTTGTAGGGCGCTGCCACCCACATTCAGCGACCCAGAAATTTTGGCACTGCTGTGAATAGTTTAGTCGCAAAGTGAAGATTCACGGGTACCAAGCCCTAAACTTGGAGATAGGTTATTATTCAGCTTTCAGCAGCCCTGGGCGAGTTCTTTAGAGATACGCGACTGTTTTTCTTGGTGCCCTTGTCTATGTCCAGCTCCACAACGAGATGAGGGTGGTCTTTGTCAATTTCTGAGCTGCGAACAAGCATAAAGGTGAGAAAATGTCGGATTTTGACCATTTGTGCTCACCTTCCAATTTCAACGTACCTCTCTATAACATGAGCCAGCTGTAATGTCAGTGGTCGCATTGGTTTGATTTTTGGTTTGCTTGTAGGGCGCTGGCAATCACATTCAGTGACCCAGAAATTTTGGCACTGCTGTGAATAGTTTAGTCGCAAAGTGAAGATTCACGGGTACCAAACCCTAAACTTGGAGATTGGTTATAATTCAGCTTTCAGCAGCCCTGGGCGACTTCTTAAAGATACGTGACTGTTTTTCTTGGTGCCCTTGTCTATGTCCAGCTACAGAACGAGATGAGGATGGTCATTTCTCATTTTGTGAGCTGCGAACGCGCAGAAAGGTGAGAAAATGTCGGATTTTGACCATTTGTGCTCACCTTTGAATTTCAACGTACCTCTCTATAACAGGAGCCAGCTGTAATGTTAGTGGTCGCATTGATATGATTTTTGGTTTGCTTGTAGGACGCTGGCACCCACATTCAGTGACCCATAAAATTTGGCACTGCTGTGAATAGTTTAGTCGCAAAGAGAAGATTCACGGGTAAAAAGCCCCAAACTTTGAGATATATAAGTTTCCGTGCATGGCACGGTAAGTGAAGTTAGCAACCCACCAACAATTACATTCCTAACATAATTTGCACGTACTTGCCATAGCGCATCACGTGCCCGTGCAGAACACGCACTCCGAACTCCCGCGCCCCGGCACGGGACCACGCGGAGCATGCGCATTACTCCGGCTCTCGATGCTGCTTCTTCTTCATCCTTGCTGCGCCAACAGTCAGATCGCTTGATAACCTTGGCCAGTTTTTGAGCTTGCTCTTCGCTTTGCTGTGCTGACGGTCAAATTGTTTGACTATCGCGGCCAGTTTCTGATCAATATCCGATCAACCAGGTCTCTGTCAGTGAGCGATGTCCAGCCAAAACGCTCCGTTTGCTTTGCTGCGCTGACGCAGTGACGGTCAAATTGTTTGACAATCGCGGCCAGTTTCTGATCAATATCCGATCAACCATGTCTCCGTCAGTGAGCGATGTCCAGCCATAACGCTCTTTGCTTTGCTGCCTTGACGGTCAAATTGTTTGACAATCGCGGCCAGTTTCTGATCAATATCCGATCAACCATGTCTCTGTCAGTAAGCGATGTCCAGCCAAAATGCGCTCTGCTAAGCTGCGAAACGCACTGGCATCCCGCAATTATTTAGACCCGACAGGAACAAAACCTACTCCGCGGACTCGCCTGCTCGAGCTGAAGTTGGCTCCAGACTACTGAGTACTGTACGCGAGGACTTGGCCGCTCCGGCAGCGGAGCAGAACCTAGCCGAGGCAACTGCAGCCCCATCCCTGGCCTAGGAGACTTTAGTCGGGAGGAGGTTCGCGACGCTTGGAGCACGTATTGTGCGACTGACGCAGCAGCACACCCCTCCAGGGCCCCCGGAGCCGTTTTCGCACCAGCCCATAATCTTCAAGATGGCTCGGAAATTTAGGTCCCTGATGCTGAGCTCTCCTCTCTAAAGCTGACACGAAGTATGCCTGGCGGCTTTGGTCTGTTTCCCCTCATGTCTGGCCCCGGCTTGGCATTTTTTGGAAGGTTCGTAACCATGTAGATAAGGCACCACCATTTGGCCTTAGATCCTCCCCCTTCCGTTCAACAGACCGGCTGATGTGGACTCTCAGCCCAACGGCGACTCTGCAATGATCCTGCTAAGTCTCTTACTCGTCTTCGAGTACAGCGCTTCCGGACTCTCAGCCCATCTACCGACGCAGTGCTGACACACCCTGCACAGTCCACCCTCCAGCAGTTGACGACGCAACCATGGACCTCATCCGCCAGGGCCTGGCGGCCAGTTCCAGCATAACATGCGCTTCGCTGCCGCGCTCCGAACACTTGTCGCCCTGCGCCAGGGCAAGCCACACTCAGGGACTGATCAGTGCTGGCAGCATTGTTCCAGATCCTGTACTTTGAGTGCATTGCCCACTGTGCTAATGGCTAGCCGCATTGGACGGCACTCACATCAAATGCAGTGTAATAGTAATGCAGATAAATCCTGTTTGGGTCAGGTTGTCAGCGCTGCCGGACTCGCATCCCAACTGCCGAAGTGGTGCCGACACAACCAGCGCAGTCCACCCTCCAGCAGTTGACGACGCAACCATGGACCTCATCCGCCAGGGCCTGGCGGACAGCTCCAGCATGGCATGCGCTTCGCCGCAGCACTCCGAACGCTTGTCGCCCTGCGCCAGGGCAAGCCAACCTCAGGGACTGATCATTGCCGGCAGCATTGTTCCAGATCCTGTACTTCGAGCACATCGCCCACTATGCTAATGGGCAGCCGCATTGGACGGCACTCACATAAATTGCAGTGTAATAGTAATGCAGATAAATCCTGTCTGGGTCCGGTTGTCAGCGCGTCTGGACTTGCAGCCCAACTGCCGAAGCGGTGCCGGCACAACCAGCGCAGTCCACCCTTCAGCAGTTGATGACGCAACCATGGACCTCATCCGCCAGGGCCTGGCGGGCAGCTCCAGCACAACATACGCTTCGCTGCAGCGCTCCGAACGCTTGTCACCCCGCACTAGGGCAAGCCATACCCAGTGACTGATCAGTGCCAGCAGCATTGTTCCGTATCCGGTACGTTGAGCGCATTGCCCACTATGCTAATGGGCAGCCGCATTGGACGGCACTCACATCAATTGTAGTGTAATAGTAATGTAGATAAATCCTGTTTGGGTCAGGTTGTCGACGCTTCTGGACTCGCAGCCCAACTGCCGACGCAGTGCCGACACAACCAGCGCAGTCCACCCTTCAGCAGTTGACGACGCGGGCCGCAACTTTGGACGATCTGGCTGGCGTACAGCACTACCTGCAGTCCACCGTGCCTAGCCCGCACAACCGCGCCATGCTCTGGAGCGCCGTGACTCTGGCCTTCCACGGGCTGCTCAGAGTCAACGAGTACACCTTCACGGCACGGGGCGCCGGCCTTGAGTACAGCGATGCGACCATGTACCCAGACCGCGTGGAGCTGCGCCTGCGTGTGACAAAGACGAGCCAATACGGCAGCGGCCAGGACATTAGCGTCAGGAGGACAGGCTCGCCGACATGCCCGCACACGGCAGCCACCAGCTACCTAGCAGCCCGTGGCTCGGCACCTGGCCCGCTCTATCGCTATGATGACGGCACGCCCCTGAAGCCGCATAACATCAACAGGCTACTACAAACAGCCTTGCCTAACAAAGACGTGCGCAGCCACAGCCTCAGACGAGGCACTGCAACGCTGGCAGGCAAAGCTGGCGTGCCTGAGTGCGTGCTGAAGACCGCCGGCAGGTGGCAAAGCTCTGCCTACCTCCGCTATGTCCGCACCCCTGTCGCAGACAGAGCATTGCCAGCGGCATTGTTCTAGTCTCTGCCCGTTATGCTAATGGGTAGCCGCATTGGACGGCCCTAGCAACAGCTGTAGTGTACATATGATATACCTATCATACTATAACTATAGTAACGCTACTATAACTATAGTAATGCCGATAATTCCTGTTTGGGTCATGTTGTATTTTGGGAGAACGGTAGGGATCGTGGGTCAGGCCGGCATTGAGCCAAGTGCGCCTACATGTGCTCACAAGTGCATCCCTACCGTATGCGTGTATTGACACGCCGGGCAATTGTTGCCCCCATTAGCCCTGGCATTGGCCAGTCTAACGCACATTGGTGCTTGCGATACTACGGCATTGGTCCATAGTATTGCATACTGCATGCGGCAATTGTTGCCTGCGATACTACGGCATTGGTCCATAGTATTGCATACTGCATGCGGCAATTGTTGCCTGCGATACTACGGCATTGGTCCATAGTATTGCATACTGCATGCGGCAATTGTTGCCTATGCCCTGATAATACAACGCGTAATAGCTCCCAAACAGGTCGGCTTGTGTGGTTGTTAAATATAAGTTTCCGTGCATGGCACGGTAAGTGAAGTTAGCAACCCACCAACAATTACATTCCTAACATAATTTGCACGTACTTGCCATAGCGCATCACGTGCCCGTGCAGAACACGCACTCCGAACTCCCGCGCCCCGGCACGGGACCACGCGGAGCATGCGCATTACTCCGGCTCTCGATGCTGCTTCTTCTTCATCCTTGCTGCGCCAACAGTCAGATCGCTTGATAACCTTGGCCAGTTTTTGAGCACCACCACCCACCCCATCATCTCTAACCATCATTCTATTCTAAGCCATCCCGGAAGGGAGAACGGTAGGGATCGTGGGTCAGGCCGGCATTGAGCCAAGTGCGCCTACATGTGCTCACAAGTGCATCCCTACCGTATGCGTGTATTGACACGCCGGGCAATTGTTGCCCCCATTAGCCCTGGCATTGGCCAGTCTAACGCACATTGGTGCTTGCGATACTACGGCATTGGTCCATAGTATTGCATACTGCATGCGGCAATTGTTGCCTGCGATACTACGGCATTGGTCCATAGTATTGCATACTGCATGCGGCAATTGTTGCCTGCGATACTACGGCATTGGTCCATAGTATTGCATACTGCATGCGGCAATTGTTGCCTATGCCCTGATAATACAACGCGTAATAGCTCCCAAACAGGTCGGCTTGTGTGGTTGTTAAAGGTTATTATTCAGCTTTCATCAGCCCTGGGCGAGTTCTTTAGAGAAATGTGACTGTTTTACTTGGTGCCCTTGTCTATGTCCAGCTACACAACAAGATGAGGATTGTCTTTGTCAATTTCTGAGCTTCGAACTGGTATAAAGGTGAGAAAATGTCGGATTTTGACCAGTTGGTCTCACCTTCCAATTTCAACGTACCTCTCTATAACATGAGCCAGCTGTAATGACAGTGGTCGCATTGGTTTGATTTTGGTTTGCTTGTAGGGCGCTGGCACCCACATTCAGTGACCCACAAAATTTGGCACTGCTGTGAATAGTTTAGTCGCAAAGTGAAGATTCACGGGTAAAAAGCCCCAAACTTTGAGATAGGTTATTATTCAGCTTTCAGCAGCCCTGGGCGAGTTCCTTAGAGATATGTGACTGTTTTTCTTGGTGCCCTTGTCTTTGTCCAGCTACACAACCAGATGAGGATGGTCATTGTCATTTTCTGAGCTGCGAACGGGCATAAAGGTGAGAAAAAATTTCGGATTTTGACCATTTTTGTTCACCTTCCAATTTCAACGTACCTCTCTATAACATGAGTCACCTGTAATGTCAGTGGTCGCATTGGTTTGATTTTTGGTTTGCTTGTAGGGCGCTGCCACCCACATTCAGCGACCCAGAAATTTTGGCACTGCTGTGAATAGTTTAGTCGCAAAGTGAAGATTCACGGGTACCAAGCCCTAAACTTTGAGATTGGTTATAATTCAGCTTTCAGCAGCCCTGGGCGAGTTCTTTAGAGATACGTGACTGTTTTTCTTGGTGCCCTTGTCTATGTCCAGCTACACAACGAGATGAGGATGGTCATTTTCATTTTGTGAGCTGCGAACGGGCAGAAAGGTGAGAAAATGTCGGATTTTGACCATTTGTGCTGACCTTCGAATTTCAATGTACCTCTCTATAACATGAGCCAGCTGTAATGTTAGTGGTCGCATTGATATGATTCTTGGTTTGCTTGTAGGGCGCTGGCACCCACATTCAGTGACCCATAAAATTTGGCACTGCTGTGAATAGTTTAGTCGCAAAGTGAAGATTCACATGTAAAAAGCCCCAAACTTTGAGATAGGTTATTATTCAGCTTTCAGCAGCCCTGGGCGAGTTCTTTAGAGAAATGTGACTGCTTTACTTGGTGCCCTTGTCTATGTCCAGCTACACAACAAGATGAGGATTGTCTTTGTCAATTTCTGAGCTTCGAGCAGGCATAAAGGTGAGAAAATGTCGGATTTTGACCAGTTGGTCTCACCTTCCAATTTCAACGTACCTCTCTATAACATGAGCCAGCTGTAATGTTAGTGGTCGCATTGGTTTGATTTTTGGTTTGCTTATAGGGCGCTGACACCCACATTCAGTGACCCAGACATTTTGGCACTCCTGTGAATAGTTTAATCGCAAAGTGAAGATTCACTGGGAACCAAGCCCTAAACTTGGAGATAGGTCATTATTCAACTTTCAGCAGCCGTGGGCGAGTTCTTTAGAGATATGTGACTGTTTTTCTTTTTTTAAACTGCGAACGGGCAGAAAGGTGAGAAAATGTCGGATTTTGACCATTTGTGCTGACCTTTCAATTTCAACGTACCTCTCTATAACATGACCCAACTGTAATTTCAGTGGTCGCATTGGTTTCATTTTTGGTTTGCTTGCAGGGCGCTGGCACCCACAATCAGTGACCCTAAAAATTTGGCACTGCTGTGAATAGTTTAGTCGCAAAGTGAAGATTCATGGGTAAAAAGCCCCAAACTTCTAGATAGGTTCTTTTTCAACTTTCAGCAGCCCTGGTTGAGTTCTTTAGAGAAATGTGGCTCTTTTTCATGGTGCTCTTGTCTATGTCCAGCTACACAACGAGATGAGGATGGTCATTGTCATTTTCTGAGCTGCGAACGGGCAGAAAGGTGAGAAAATGTCGGATTTTGACCATTTGTGCTGACCTTTCAATTTCAACGTACCTCTCTATAACATGACCCAGCTGTAATGTCAGCGGTCGCATTGCTTTCATTTTTGGTTTGCTTGTAGGGCGCTGGCACCCACAATCAGTGACCCTAAAAATTTGGCACTGCTGTGAATAGTTTAGTCGCAAAGTGAAGATTCATTGGTAAAAAGCCCCAAACTTCTAGATAGGTTCTTTTTCAACTTTCAGCAGCCCTGGGCGAGTTCTTTAGAGAAATGTGGCTCTTTTTCATGGTGCTCTTGTCTATGTCCAGCTACACAACGAGATGAGGATGGTCATTGTCATTTTCTGAGCTGCGAACGGGCAGAAAGGTGAGAAAATGTCGGATTTTGACCATTTGTGCCGACCTTTCAATTTCAACGTACCTCCCTATAACATGACCCAGCTGTAATTTAAGTGGTCGCATTGGTTTAATTTTGGGTTTGCTTGTAGGGCGCTGGCAGCCGCATTCAGTGACCCATAAAATTTGGCACTGCTTTGAATAGTTTAGTCGCAAAGTGAAGATTCACGGGTAAAAACCCCAAACTTCTAGATAGGTTCTTTTTCAGCTTTCAGCAGCCCTGGGTGAGTTCTTTAGAGAAATGTGGCTCTTTTTCATGGTGCTCTTGTCTATGTCCAGCTAACCAACGAGATGAGGATGGTCATTGTCATTTTCTAAGCTGCGAACGGGCAGGAAGGTGAGAAAATGTCGGATTTTGACCATTTGTGCTGACCTTTCAATTTCAACGTACCTCTCTATAACATGACCCAGCTGTAATGTCAGCGGTCACATTGGTTTCATTTTTGGTTTGCTTGTAGGGCGCTAGCACCCACAATCAGTGACCCTAAAAATTTGGCACTGCTGTGAATAGTTTAGTCGCAAAGTGAATATTCACGGGTAAAAAGCCCCAAACTTCTAGATAGGTTCTTTTTCAACTTTCAGCAGCCCTGGGCGAGTTCTTTAGAGAAATGTGGCTCTTTTTCATGGTGCTCTTGTCTATGTCCAGCTACACAACGAGATGAGGATGGTCATTGTCATTTTCTGAGCTGCGAACGGGCAGAAAGGTGAGAAAATGTCGGATTTTGACCATTTGTGCTGACCTTTCAATTTCAACGTACCTCTCTATAACATGACCAAGCTGTAATTTCAGTGGTCGCATTGGTTTAATTTTTGGTTTCCTTGTAGGGCGCTGGCACCCGCATTCAGTGACCCAGAAAATTTGGCACTGCTGTGAATAGTTTAGTCGCAAAGTAAAAGATTCACGGGTAAAAAGCCCCAAACTTCTAGACAGGTTCTTTTTCAGCTTTCAGCAGCCCTGGGCGAGTTCTTTAGAGAAATGTGACTCCTTTACATTGTGCTCTTGTCTATGTCCAGCTACACAACGAGATGAGGATGGTCATTGTCATATTCTAAGCTGCGAACGGGCAGAAAGGTGAGGAAATGTCGGATTTTGACCATTTGTGCTGACCTTTTAATTTCAACGTACCTCTCTATAACATGACCCAGCTGTAATGTAAGTGGTCGTATTGATTTGATTTTTGGTTTGCTTTTAGGGCGCTGGCACCCGCATTCATTGACCCAGAAAATTTGGCACTGCTGTGAATAGTTTAGTCGCAAAGTGAAGATTCATGGGTAAAAAGCCCCAAACTTCTAGATAGGTTCTTTTTCAGCTTTCAGCAGCCCAGGCCGAGTTCTTTAGAGAAATGTGGGTCTTTTTCTTGGTGCTCTTGTCTATGTTCAGCTACACAACGAGATGAGGATGGTCATTGTCATTTTCTGAGCTGCGAACGGGCAGAAAGGTGAGAAAATGTCGGTTTTGACCATTTGTGCCGACCTTTCAATTTCAACGTACCTCTCTATAACATGACCCAGCTGTAATTTCAGTGGTCGCATTGGTTTCATTTTTGGTTTGCTTGTAGGGCGCTGGCACCCGCATTCAGTGACTCAGGAAATTTGGCACTGCTGTGAGTAGTTTAGTCGCAAAGTGAAGATTCACAGGTAAAATGCCCCAAACTTCTAGATGGGTTCTTTTGAGCTTTCAGCAGCCCTGGGCGAGTTCTTTAGAGAAATGTGACTCTTTTTCATGGTGCTCTTGTCTATGTCCAGCTAACCAACGAGATGAGGATGGTCATTGTCATTTTCTAAGCTGCGAACGGGCAGAAAGGTGAGAAAATGTCGGATTTTGACCATTTGTGCCGACCTTTCAATTTCAACGTACCTCTCTATAACATGACCCAGCTGTAATGTCAGCGGTCGCATTGGTTTCGTTTTTGGTTTGCTTGTAGGGCGCTGGCACCCACAATCAGTGACCCTAAAAATTTGGCACTGCTGTGAATAGTTTAGTCGCAAAGTGAAGATTCACGGGTAAAAAGCCCCAAACTTCTAGATAGGTTCTTTTTCAGCTTTCAGCAGCCCTGGGTGAGTTCTTTAGAGAAATGTGTCTCTCTTTCATTGTGGTATTTTCTATGTCCAGCTACACAACGAGATGAGGATGGTCATTGTCATTTTCTGAGCTGCGAACGGGCAGAAAGGTGAGAAAATGTCGGATTTTGACCATTTGTGCTGACCTTTCAATTTCAACGTACCTCTCTATAACATGACTCAGCTGTAATTTCAGTGGTTGCATTGGTTTCATTTTTGGTTTGCTTTTAGGGCGCTGGCACCCGCATTCAGTGACCCAGAAAATTTGGCACTGCTGTGAATAGTTTAGTCGCAAAGTGAAGATTCATGGGTAAAAAGCCCCAAACTTTTAGATAGGTTCTTTTTCAGCTTTCAGCAGCCCAGGCCGAGTTCTTTAGAGAAATGTGGGTCTTTTTCTTGGTGCTCTTGTCTATGTCCAGCTACACAACGAGATGAGGATGGTCATTGTCATTTTCTTAGCTGGGAACGCGCAGAAAGGTGAGAAAATGTCGGATTTTGACCATTTGTGCTGACCTTTTAATTTCAACGTACCTCTCTATAACATGAACCAGCTGTAATGTCAGTGGTCGCATTGATTTGATTTTTGGTTTGCTTTTAGGGCGCTGGCACCCGCATTCATTGACTCAGAAAATTTGGCACTGCTGCGAATAGTTTAGTCGCAAAGTGAAGATTCACGGGTAAAAAGCCCCAAACTTCTAGATAGGTTCTTTTTCAGCTTTCAGCAGCCCTGGGCGAGTTCTTTAGAGAAATGTGACTCTTTTTCATGGTGCTCTTGTCTATGCCCAGCTAACCAACGAGATGAGGATGGTCATTGTCATTTTCTAAGCTGCGAACGGGCAGAAAGGTGAGAAAATGTCGGATTTTGACCATTTGTGCTGACCTTTCAATTTCAACGTACCTCTCTATAACATGACCCAGCTGTAATGTTAGCGGTCGCATTGGTTTCATTTTTGGTTTGCTTGTAGGGCGCTGGCACCCACAATCAGTGACCGTAAAAATTTGGTACTGCTGTGAATAGTTTAGTCGCAAAGTGAAGATTCACGGGTAAAAAGCCCCAAACTTGTAGATAGGTTCTTTGTCAGCTTTCAGCAGCCCTGGGTGAGTTCTTTAGAGAAATGTGGCTGTTTTTCATGGTGCTATTTTCTATGTCCAGCTACACAACGAGATGAGGATGGTCATTGTCATTTTCTGAGCTGCGAACGGGCAGAAAGGTGAGAAAATGTCGGATTTTGACCATTTGTGCCGACCTTTCAATTTCAACGTACCTCTCTATAACATGAACCAGCTGTAATGTCAGTGGTCGCATTGATTTTTGGTTTGCTTTTAGGGCGCTGGCACCCGCATTCATTGACTCAGAAAATTTGGCATCGCTGTGAATAGTTTAGTCGCAAAGTGAAGATTCACGGGTAAAAAGCCCCAAACTTCTAGATAGGTTCTTTTTCAGCTTTCAGCAGCCCTGGGCGAGTTCTTTAGAGAAATGTGACTCTTTTTCAT